ACACCCTGTACTTCACTTTGCAACATTACCTTGTACATTTTTAGTGATTCAACTAATGCAGTGAACTACTACTTCTCCTGCAAGGTTGACTGCAGTCATGCCCTGAAACCATCCCGCCTAAACGAGCCGCAAACTGAACCAACTTCCTTAAAGCCTGAAAAACAAAGAGTCCGTTAAATATCTTGCACACACTTCTTTAGTGCAAGGAAAGACGGAAGAAAAAAGGATCTTTTTTCCCCATTCTTTTCTGGCAGAAAAGAATGCCGTTTCATTCCAACATGCACTAAAGATTCTCTAGATCCAGCATATGGTCTTGAACATTTTCCAGCTTGAACAGTGGGATAATTATGTTTTATAGGAAAGGGTAAAACTGTAGATCACTCGCTGCTTAGTTACAGAATGCAACAGCAGCAGTAAATGTGCTTCCCAGTGCACTGCCAAACAGCCTGATCTGGTCCTTTTTCTCTTCTCCTTTGCTCTTCTCTGGTCCTCATCTTGCTCTGCTCCCTTCTCCCCAGCACAGTTTCAGGTAGATGCTTGCTCATTTGGTACTTCAGACTTGAAAAGTCTAGCCCAGAATAGGACTTCATTAGAAGGGAAACTTTCTGGACCTATCAAACCCCAACTTTCAAAACCTGCAGGAAACAATAAACCCCCATGGTCTAAAGCCTCTGAAAAAAAAAAGAAAGATGTTCTTAAGCTAAATCCTCAGAGGAGCTTCAAACAATAAACCCCCATGGTCTAAAGCCTCCGAAAAAAAGATGTTCTTAAGCTAAGTCCTCAGATGAGCTTCAGTCCTGTGTTTGTTTAGGAACCTTGTGCAGGTCTGCACTAGGAGGCACCTTTCCACAGCAAGTGCTTTGGACGTCATCCTTGCCAGGTTTCAATGGCATCTAACGCTAATTATTTTTTTCCTCTAACCACAACAGTAAACTTTGAAAAACTTTACAGCTGCTTTTCAAGGCTGATAACTGACGGTGAATGGCACTAAAGCCAATAACCCCAGCTGGAACCATCCTATACCTTTGCCCTCTCCAGGAAATGCAGCAAATATATTCTCTTCATTGAAGCACCTCTGCTCTTGCAGCTCTATTGCTAAGTCTGCATTTTAGTTAGAGTTACCAGCAGGAGCTTTTCATGAGCTGATATTCTTGCCGGGCTTTTCTCCTCTCAGATCCAGGCCAGTTGAAAAATGCAATTCTACCCATGCCAGAAGCTGCTTTAACTGCGAAGGAGCTGCATGCACAGCAAGGAACTAGCCTGAAACTCACATCCAGAAGCAGCCACAATTGTCTTCCTGGGTCTCAAACAAACCCAGCAATGCTAAAAAGCACCAAACTGTCAAAGGACACTTTAAAATATGCTTGAATTATTAAATTAGCTCCACTGCAAGTTCTAATCCTGCAGTGAGTCAAGAGCTCCATTTTTATGCAATTCTTAGGCTTTATTTCCCTGTGAACAGAGCTTATACTTGCAATTTTGTATTACGAAGTGCAGATTAGCTATTTTCCATGAAGCTTACCCTGTTTCAAATTTTATTTTTCACTAGGTTTAAAATTCTTTTAAACCAAAGACAGTTTGAAGTTCGGGAGAAGACAGCATTCAAACTTGCATGGACATACATTGACAGGTCCATGCAATCTGTAGCAAGATTTAAGATAACTAAAACACGCAGAAAAGACAAGAGAGACTTTCACGGACCGGCAGATAGGAGCAACAACAGTGATAAATCACTTGCTCCGGCTCTGAGGGCAAGCCTGGTATTAAAGGCTTGCTGTATTGATTAGTGTCTGGCACACACAGACATTCATTACCAGAGATGGATGCTAAGTGATGCTTCATCACATCTCCTTTACACAAACCTGCCTCCGAAACGCTAGCTAGTTTATGTGCTGCATTAACCAAATAAGTAGTTTACAAATTAGAGCATTTAAATACTAGTTAGCCTCCTTAGAAAAACTGCAGAATGTTAATGGGAGGGAATTCATCATCGCTTCCCCGAGGAGCGAAGCAGCTGCTGAGGAGGAATTGGGGAGTTAAGAGTTTATCCAAGTGCTCCCCTGCCACGGCAGCCAGACCGTCCCCGTGCTCCGCTCGCAGACGCCCTCGACGCAGTTTTACAAGTTCTCGGCGCTCTTTTAACCAAACGCGGCCAACACGCACTGCCCTTCAATAATAAAGATGTACTCTGGCCCCCAGACAACTTATTATCCACAGGCTTGTATACCTGACAAATATAGAAAACCCAACGTGTTTGACCCATTCCCTGACCCCGCCACAATGGGCTTCTTTGTGAGCCTTTAATATCCTTATCAGGTCTGTCTAGACACCCTGACAGCAATTGTCCCTAGTAATGCCAAACGCACCCTGACCTCGCTCCGCCGCCTCCGGCTCGGCCAGAAACCCTCGGAGGGGACAAACACAGGGGCCAATTAGTGTCACCCTCCACGGGACACACCTGTGTGCGCCCCGGCCGCAGGGCTGCTCCGAGCGGCTTCTCCAAGGAAAAGTCTCTCCCAAGCCAAAAAAAGCACAGCGGGAAAGCCGGCCTCAAGGGAAACCTTGTGAAGTCTAAATGACGGGACTAAAAGCATTAAAATCTCCAAACATTTAACCTTAGCATTATCAGAATGTGATGGCAAATATTTAAGATGCTCTACATGTTAACCACACGTTAAAAAAAAAAAAGAAAAAACAAAAAAAGCCCCACTTACTTTTCAAGAAATCCAAGTAACTATACTATAAGTTCACTGCAGACAAAGGAAAAAGACACACACCATATTCGTGTTCAATTTAGAAAGTCATATCAGACCAGGAAAAAAAAAAAAAAGGAGTAGAAAGAAAAGAGAATTTTATCCTGAGGATGCAGGATAATAAAAGATGTAATAAACCAGAACTAGCTTAGCCCTAAAGCTAGCAAGGATTTGCAAAGATTGTTTAATTGATTTTTCTTCTATTAAAATGCAGATCACACTGTCTGGGATTCAGAAACTCAGACACGCCTTTGTGTCCCCTCCGCTCCATGCAGTCCCTGTCTGAAACTCGCACAATGCCCCCCTCGCATGTGCTCAAAGACATGCTGTTCCTTTTTGTCTGGGCTTCCCCGCGCCCAGACGCGCCAAGGAAAGGCAAATCCTCCACCCTGCCCCAAAAGTTTGGGTTTGTAGCTGGAATCTAACACAAGCTGCTAAACAGGGCTCGAAGGAAGACCGGGTTCAACACAGCAAGGCTCACACCAACTGCACTTTTCTATTTCCAAACACCTGCAAGGCCATATGATGAATTCGGAATTCAGGGGATTGCTCCATCCATCAGCAGCACGGCCGAGCAGCCGGTGCCCCGAGCCGAGGAAACAATATGCAATTTCTCTTTCTACAAATTAGATATCAGGTCTGTTCTCGTGAGCAGCATGCGGACACTCACTACTCTCTCTGTCCCAGAAGCACGACAGCCTTTTTTGTACCTTCTCTAGAAGCAGTTTGTTTACAGCAACTGACCTGAGTGAGAACAAACCAAATCAATTAGGCGCATTGCTACATTTTAATAACAGGCTGATTTTTGTCATATGCACAGCTTGCATTTTCCCCCAAACTTAGGCTGAGCAAATCCTAACTCCAATACACTCAGCTTCCAAAGGCTCAGGGAGCCAAAGGTTCAGTCTTTTTGTACCAGCCAGCGCATTAGACACCCGGACATTAGTGGACTGTAATTGATTATAGTTGTGATTTAATTTAAAAGCATTCCAAAGAAGATATTAATCTCAGAGCTCTGAAGGAAAGAGAGATGTGTTAGGGAGGGAGAGAGATTTAATTCCCTGGGCAACTGTGCTAAAAGGTAGCCTTGCATTGCCAATAGTTTTGTCATAAACCACATCCAGAAGGGACACAAATAAGAAGTGGGATGATGTGGCAGCACAGGCCCAAGTGCAGCTCAAGCAAGGTCCAGCTCCACGGGTTAGTCACAGAATTACAGAACGGTTCAGGTTGGAAGGGACCCCTAGAGATCACCTAGTCCAACCCCCTGCTCGAGCAGGGACACCCGGAGCACGGGACACGGGGTCGGTTGTTGTTGCTTGTTTTGGGGTCAGGGTCCTGAAATCCAGACCCAAACGGGACTGCTCTGCAACGCACTCGACCCCACAACACTGCCACATATGATCTCATTCCAGATGTCCAGCTTAAAGGTTAACTAACTTGTCCAGATTCAAGTTAGAGCTGAGAGAAAAACATAAAGTTCCTTATGGGTTTGTTTTTGATTCTCTACAGGATATTAAGTCATGGATCATTCCAGCTTCTCACACTTGACTCATACAGAGTTAGCCTATGAATTCTTTACTTGCTTTAGCTATATTAACTCAGTCTCATTACATTCTACTAGTTAAAGGATTGTTTTTGTTTTCTAAGAAGTGAATAAACATTAGCCATGTCTCCATCTAGGTATCTGGAGCGAGCTGGTCTCGGCGACAAACAGCTTATAACAGACTTGCAAACCAAAATCCGTAAGGGGATGTTATCAGCCTGACTCTGTGTTTTAACCTGCAAAACTTAAGTTTTGTTACCTGAACTGCAATCCAGCTGGCATTGACAGCATGTTCTCCAAATGGACCAAACCCTGAAACAGAAGCAAAAACTCAGTGACAAAGTCATTCTTACAGGTTTGACTGCACACTGCAAAGTGCTTTGCACTTGCCTGTTTTATACTTGAAAGACAAGCCACTTCTTATAATACTGAATTCTGATTTACTTCCCACCTCAGTATGAAACAAGAGCCTTTCACAAAGAGGAATGAAGTATACACCTTTTATTGTGAAGCAAAACAGCAGCTTGCCTCCAAAGAAAACTTGTTTTCCCCATCACACAGGGGCAAGTGTATTTTTTTCCCCCTTGACCAGGTTAGAAAAACTTATTAACAAGTTGGCTGATGTCATAGAACAACAACCATGATCGGATTTTCCATTCCTGACCGTTCCAGTCCACAACAGCTGCTTCCACAAGTACGGACAAGTCTATCTCAAATATTTCTGCTCTACTTGGAAGGTCTTCACCAAGATCTCTATTAGCATCGGTTCTGCTCCAGGAGGAGGTAAACAGCACATTGCTGACAGCCTTATAAAAACACTCACCGTGGCTAAATTTCCTAATGAATAACTTAGAGTTAACTAGTAATCCATAACATCTTTTCCTGAGCAAGCACACAAAGGTTAGGTAATTTATCTGGGTACAACATCGATATGCTTTAATTTAAAATGTCAGAGTTACACTATGAGCCTAATGCAATTAGAAGACATAAATTTTGTCTAACTTGTGAAAGGATCCAAGAGGGACTACCAATATTATATGACACGTTAATGGAAACCTGCTATTTGCTATCAACAGCAAGCTAAGCCCGAGGCTACGCTGCTCACAGCCACATAAAGAATTTGCCCAGCAGGGGCTCATCAGGAACTACACTTTTAAGGAATTCTCCCACTTTAACCCATGCCGATATCTCCTCAAAATTAATCTTCTTAAGTTTTCCCCTTCGATCAAACATTGGTGTGCTTTTTATGCTCTATGGGCAAACCTCCAATATAATTAAGATAATCAACAACCACAGCATAGACTAACAAGGCTAACAAACAAATGACTTTGCAGCTGCTTGCACAAGTCAGGGATGGACTAAGCAACTTTCTGGAAACAAATAATCACAAGTCTCCATGCCTCCTTCCTAAGGAAATGGTAATTGTCATATTAAAAGGAATATCTAGAGCATCTCTTTCTAACAGCTTCAGCTACAAAGGAAGTGCACTGGAAGGGTGAAATTCTACAGGTGTCCAAACACGTGGCACAACCGTCCTGAAGGCAAATGTGAACTGGTGCAAACAGCACAAAGGGCTGTTGCTCCTCTGACTCATCTTCTCTTGTCCTTTTTTTTGTCTTTTACAGAAATTAACCAACTTTGAGGGGTCGCATCACACTCGACCGAGCGCTCCCAGGAGCTCTGCATCCACAACAGGGCCCTCCCAGGCTCATTAGCAGTAAAGCAGCTGCCGGGATCGTTATGGGATGTCCTTAAACAGTTCTAAAAAAGACACTGCACATAAATAATACTTATCCTCAGCAAGCATGCATGCGGAGCTGCGAGGGAACACAACCCCGCTGACAACTTTAAAAAGGGGAATTTAGCGTGACATCTATGACAGATTAGCAAATAGCAAATACGGGCAGAGCTGACAAGATAACTGCTGAATTTTAGAAACAGACTTCCTACGAAACCAGGAGAAAAAAAAAAATAAGAGCGAAGCGGTGCAAGCAGCAGGGTATTTACTGACGCAAGTTTTCTGTTTAGTCACTGCTGAGAGCAGCCACTTAGCACCATATTCCAGGTTGGAAAAGGCAGGATTTGCCACCTGCTCCGTGCAGCCGCTCTCTTGCCTGCAGTTAAACGCGCTCCGGTGCGTGGGCAGCGAGGAGCCCCCCGGCCGCTCGCTATTCACCGCGGCCGCCCCGGGAGCGCTCCATGGTTCCAAGTTGCTCCCCATTTGTCACCGCCTTCCCCACAAATCACGCTGCTCCCTTTGTACCCTTGGAACCGCCAGCTCGCGAGGGCCTCCCGTGCCCCCCTCCCCGGCCGTGTTATCCCAATAAGAGCGCGGGCTGCGCCCGGGGCTCCCGGCTCCGCACGGGATCGGTCCCGT